TCCTGTGGCGTCGTGAGGCCGGATACTATAGGTGTAGGGGGGCCTCGCTTGTTCCGACCCCTACCCTCAAAATACAGCTGCTGGTTCACCAAGTACTCGGGACGCTGCTGAATCATGGCTCTCTGCTCATCGTACTGGGACATTGAGTTCCCTGTGCCCGACATGGCGCGAAAGGAAAACTAGGCGGTGTGGCCGAAAAGGCTCACGAAAACACTAACTCTTGCAAGCGTGCACACTGCACCTGGTCAGCCAAGATGCCTAGTGCGGAGACTACTGTGCGGCTGTTCACACGCACTTGGTCGATCATGGCAAAGGCCTTGGCTGATGCAAGTTATGCAGAGAGAGTCACTGTTCGTCAAGCAGTCAAGAAGGTGGCTTTGGTGAGGAGTTGCCAGCTCACAGTCTCCGGCTACTCTCCCTTGGTGATAGCTACTGGGAGACGGCCTCCTGATTTGTTTGATGTGGAGACTAGATCTTCGGAACAGCTCTCTGCTGATCCTGCTGAAGAGGATCGGACCACTCTGGAACTGCAGAGAATTGCCATGAGAGCTCATCAAGAAGCGAGGCAGTCACTTGATCTCCGGGAGGACCGTGCACGACGAGTGACGCCGTCCCATGGTCCATACCAGAAAGAGGATCGTGTGTTTGTCTGGCAGAAAGATGAGTCGAAGAAGAAGTCCGCAGGCATCTGGGCAAGAGGAATTGTTGTGTCACAAGAAAGTGCCATGCTCTTGGTTGAAGTTCATCGCGCTGTGCTTCGAGTTAATCAGTCGAAGGTGAGACGCGATCATGACCCTTGGCATGATGTGGCCATTCCTCTCAAATCCCATGACCCAAGAAGCTCATGTCAGGATGAGGCACTTGATAAGATCGGAGACAAAATCTTTGAGGATGCCGTCTCTGGGTACTGTTGTGAACATGAGATGTGCGGTCCTATCATTCTCTCACATCAGGGAAGAGCGATTTCGTTGAGACCTCCTCACCTCGCCTTACAGGCCTCACTGCGTGTGCCTGTCGTTCGGGTCTGGTTGCGAGTGAACATGTTCTGTGTGGTGAATGGACTTCCAAAATGCTTCAATCTTCGATTGGCGCAGCTTGGAAGACGATCTTAGCAGCTGAGCCTGATCACATCATCATTCACCCAGTCATTCCTGCAGTGTAGCCTCGGAAAACAGCACGAGCCTTTTAGCAGTTTTGTGCTGAGGTCTGCCGTTGGTACTTGGTTACTATCATCTATTCTTCGAGTTCTGGGTTTTGGTTGTCTCAGCGCAGTCGCTCCCTGAAGTGGAAAAGCAGCATGACGTTTGTTACCTTCAAGGACAAGGGTGGAACAAGAGCATGGTGAACTTTCTTTCCTCACGAAAGGATCTCTTGATCGGTTGGAATCTTTGGAGGAGGGCTATGATTCCACGGCCTTGTTTGATCAACGGTTCACTGTCTTGTTTCCGCATTGCTGCCATTGCTTGGTTGGTAGCACATTCTGATTTGAGACCAGGCTTTCTGTTCGAAGATATCATTGAGGAGTTTGATGGAGCTTTGTGCGTGTTGTGCTTGAGATCCGAAAGGAACTCAGAGGCACTGCCGGTTCCTCCTTCCTCAGAAGAGTATTCGCTCTTGTCGAATAACTAACACGGGAAGTTGCCGCAGTCGCTTCAGTTTGTTCTGCACACAAGTTTGTCACATCGCCATTGGTCCAAACTCTGTCTTACATTGACAATATGATTCCGGGTACTGAGTTGGAGGCGCACGCTACCAGTTCTCACGATGCCGCCGCCGTGCCGCCGATGATTAAGAATGTGCGCATGGTCACTCTCCCTTACCTGGAGTTTGAATGTTGCAATGTTTACAGGGGGACATATGAGAAGGCACTTCCGTTGGTCCATCGCCATCCGGACGCAGTTGTGATTCTGTGGAATAAGGGTGACTACGACCATGTCTTCTGTTTGGTGTCGCAGCTCCTTCCATGTCTCCAGGATATGACAGCGGACAGTTGGTCCATGATTGTGAGTTGGGGTGAAAGTCAAGGTCCGGTTGCTCGCAGGGGGCCTGATGTGGAAATGGATTTCACGGACCAACTTGCACCGGCTCCGGATGCACCGCAGCCTGGGACTCATATTCTCCAGCCACGACTGGTCTGGAAATATGAAGTGCGGCTGCCTCGGAAGTCTCAGCAGTGCCGACGTGAACGAGCTGGAACAGGACATCCGTGATATCTCCGATATGAGGGGCCATCAGAGTAGTTGGGCTGTTAAGTCGTCAGAGAACCTCTCTGGAACTTTGTGCCACAACGAACGCTTCAAGCTCGGCACCTATATGGAGCTCAGTCTGGAAGAGCTGCAGCAATCGAAGGTTCGCCCCTTCGACTGGAACCCCCGGAAGATTGTCGCTTTCGTCATGGCCAACTCAAAGGGCCGGTTCCAGGTTTGGCTGCATCCTGCGGCGCTCGTCTTCGACAGGTTCATTTCGTGGGGTTTCGACAGCGGAATCAGTCGACTTCCTGAACAGGCCAAGAAGCACCGGGAGAGAGTCTCGAGCCGTGTCCGCCAGCGTGGCTGCATATTCCATGCCACGGAGAATGCGAATTACGAGTCGATTCGCAACTGCGGCCTGGTGTTGCAGGCTACCAAGCAGAGCTGGCAGCAGCACCGCAGGGCGATACGCTTTGTATACACCGGTGGCTTAGAGTTCCCGGGCTCACGGACGGTGATAAGGTACGGCAGAAATATTTTCTATGCAATGTTGGAAGTGGAAGCAGTCTTCAACCATGCAACAAGATGTACACCAACTATGGTGATGCTCTTGTCAAAACCACTCGTGGGACAGCCTGCCGACACGGGAGCTTCTTGGCGGCAACTACGACTGGTCGACGTGGTTGCACAACCCCCTGTCGGGGTACGGAGTTCACTTCTTTTTGCAAGCGTTCGAGCTGGGCAAGCTTCAAGGCAACTATTTCGTTGATTCCAAGAAGCAGCCGAACGTTTGCACCAACGGCTATCACTCACCTTTCAGCCAGGTGCGTCAGCATGGTTTGGTGACTCTTCTGGAAGAACTCGACGAAGCCATGGCCTCCACTGGAGCAGGATCCCCGTGACAAGGAGCCGAAGGTGGATGATCCGGACTATGCTTCTAAGCTCGCTGTATACAATGCATTCCTCAAAAAAAGGATGTATACAGGGAGATCAAGTATGTGGAAGGATTTCTCCGTTCTCGTTCTCCGCTGTTGCTGAAGCGTATGGTGTTGATTTGTTCGGCTATATTCAGAAGCACGCCAGCGACCTCGAGATGCGACGCACATACAAGATCGTCTCGGCCGAGGAGTACCAGCTGTTTGACAGCACTCTGCGCGAGCCTTTTGACGCTCCTTTTATTCTCGCCTTTCTCGAGAAGGCTCTCTTGGACACGGAAGAGAAGCACTTTTCCTCTGCCTTTGCGCACAAGGCGAAGTCTGATCTCACGGCCTGGGCCTATAAAAGCGAAGCGCGCCCGGGAGATTGAGGAGCTGTATTCCCGTCCTTACGAGGGCCTTGCCGTGGAGGACTTCCTCGACAAGCTCCCTGGTCCTACAGTCGAAGAGATCGACGAGCATGCTTTCCAGCACATCCAAGGATGCCGCAGCGGACTTGCCACAAGGTGAGATGGCGGACTCATCCGAGAAGGATGCCAGTGTGCCAATGGATACCGACGCTCCAGAAAGCTCTGCACAGGAAGAGGCATCTGGAGTAAAGGTTGAGAAAACCGAAGGCTCTCCTCAGGGAGAGGGATCGGGTGACCAAGATGTGCACATGGCTGACGCTAGAGAGGTAAAGCAAGAGGACCACGACATGGCCAAGGGAAGCTCACCACAGCGTGAGGCACCCATGTCAGACATTGCTTCCTCGAAGGATGCCGATGGTGCTGAAGTTCTACGTGATCAAGCCATCTGGGAAAAATGTCGTGGATCCCGAGGCTTTCAAGGAGAGCTTCAGGGCAGCCTCGAGTGCGGAAGCTAAAATCTACAAAGCTGTCGAGAACATCGAGGACGCCAGTGAGAAGCTCGGGCTCATTGCCACGGAGGAACACAAGGCTTTATGTCGTGATCATTACGAGGTCGAGCGAACTAGCCCTCTTATGAGGCTATCAGACCAAGTCTATGGTTGCAGCAAGCCTGACCGATATCATTACGGACTCATCAGCGCATTTAATTCAGGTGCAACATGTGAGGTGGCGGCAGAAGGCTCCTCAGCACCCGCAGTACAAGTTCCACCTTTCTGAGGAGGACTCAATGCAGCAGACGTGCCAGATGGAATGGATCCCATATATACTCGTCGACATGTCCGTACTGATGTTGTTTTCCGTGCCGGCGTCGTGCGCAGTACTCTCGACGCTCGCCAAATGGCAAAGGCTTCTTTTTTGCCCGTGAATCAGTGATGGAGGTCCAAGAGGCTTTGCTGGCCCGGGTGAGAGAGCTGAGTCAGGCAAATCGGCCTGCCACAAGGGAAGAGCTGATGAACGCGACGCTTCACTACTTCCTGGCGGCTGGTGTGGATGAAGAGGAGATCGGGGACTTATCCCTGGATAAGATGCCGAGTCCTACTCTTCACCGCTTTGGTATTGCCGAAGATGGCCCAGTGCCCATCTATACTTCCAAGACGAAGTACTCAGCACTCATCCTCAACTTGGGCAGCTGTGTTCGCGGTCGCAAGCAAACTGCACCTTCCATCTTTGCCGACCACATCGACTACGACTCCACTGGGCAGGGCATGGGGGTGCTGATTAAGAATATTGCACAGGCATAGGCTAACATCTTCTTGTTCTGTGAGGCCGGCGCGATCACCGATGATGAACTGAAGTTCCTCAGAGACCGTGGCTGGGACATCCTGCGCAATCCTGGAGGAGATCTTCTCGTTGGTTGCCGGACCAATGCAGTTGGGTCCAAGATGACACAGTTGGCAGGCTCGACACTGGTCGGGGTAGCCCATCGTCATCTTCCACTTTCATTTGTGCTTGTTGATATGTCCTTTGGGATGGCAACAGCGGAGAAGTTCCTCCACAGTGTTTGAACGCCCCGTTGTTAAGGGCTGCTTCGGACACTATGCGTGTCTGTGTATTCCACATGGATAGCTCGATGGCAGCAGCAAGATTGGTCTGTCCCATGAGTGCGTTGCCTCTATGTTCATGGACTGCCTGCACTACCAGGTGGACCTCATTGGTGGGGATGCCAATATGGCTGCCTACTGCGTGTCCGGCATTAAGCAGGAGTCCATCGACATCCGAGGTTCGATGTACCAGAGCATCCTCAACTACTTTTTGGAGGCGTGGACTGAGAGTCCGACGTGCATGGCGTTTCGTTACCCTCGGGTTCCGATGGTCACCACCGTTCTGGAGTGGGGCCATTCTCTGACCGACGATCAGTGGGCCAATTCGCCGGGCACTCAGAAGGAATACAAAGTCACAAAGTCAGCGTCTCCGAATGGCTTCTGAATTCCACTTCGGCGAAAAACCTCCCGACACTACGATTCTCACACTCCTCTGCTCATCAAGGTTCACGCGAACCAGAGACAGAAGGCGAACAATTCTCGCGGATCTGCTGATCCAGCAAAGCCAGCACCTTCGGGAACAGGCTCTCCACAGGGAGAGGGAGTTTCTGGTGCGACCGCCTCTGGCTCTCAGCGTCCAGCCGAACCCGCACAACCTCCTGGTGGGAAAGCAGGCGGCAAAGGAGGCAAGTCCTCCAAGGGCAAAGACAAAGGCAAGGGCAACGGAAAGCACTGACTATGTTCCGACTCCGAGTCAGAACAGTCGTACTCTTCGTTCTCCATCCGAAAACCACTTCGTCCTCGTCCGCTACGGCCCGATCCTCATCCTCGTCTACAACCTGCGGTTGTTTTCAGACCTGGGGTGAGTCACCCCCACCAATGGGATAGTGATTCTCCGGATCGTCACTTTGACGGGGACAGCATCTGGATGGACAACGTACGTCGACTAAGTGCTTCCACTTTTCACAGGAATGCTTTTCTCAAGAAAACGTATCCTTCTGTCAGCGCTGTACCGTTTCTAGAGGAAGATGCTCTTCACAGGAAGAAGTACTTCTCTCAAAGATTTGCCCAAAAGCCAACGAGATACTTCTCACTGGAGAAGATGTTCAAGTCGATCATGTGCGATTCTTTCGAACCGCCGCTGCCATAGCTGGCACCTAGTAGAGCTAAGTTCTACACTTTTTGTGCAGTAAGCTTTCCTGTCTTGGAAAGATAACTGAACATGTGGGCAATATTTCAATGAGAGTTTTGAACCGAAGATCCGTTTGCGTTTGTTTGCGTGTTCTGCTTTTCTTGACCAGCTGTCTCCAGGCGAGAGTTTGTACAGATGTAAAATTTCTCAAGTCACTTTGTAGTTCAACGACACCGCTTTTTCAATTTGCTTGAGCAATAGACAAGCTATGTTGAATGCCGACTTCACGGTCATGCAGATTTACGAGTTTTAAATTTGTGCCTGGTTGAAACGCAGATGTTACACATTACACATCCGGGCGCCGACAGTCTCACGTATCGCATGCATGTATCCGTGCCTGTTGCTCAAGGTTCTAGCAGTGTACGGTCTACAGCTGTGCACCTGCAGCAAAAGGAGACACCTGTGCTTGCCTGCGTTCCTGTACGCCTTGCGAGGGGATGCACGCCCAGGTCCCCCCCCGTACCGTACCCCCGTACTGCACCACCCGTACCCTCATACTGCACCACCGTACTCTCCAATCCTGCACCCGCACCGTGCCACCCTTACCCGCCAAACGTACACATCGCAATACGAAAGCATGACTCTTAAATGTCGACAAGTTAAGACTGCTGTTCGTTGCCGCTGCGTGCGTGTCTAGGACCGTCAACCAGGCAGAGCCAACTCGTGATACATGACCGTTGCCGTTGCTGCGGACGTGGTTTTCAAGATGTAGAGCACTTGGCTGATCATATCATCCCATACTTTTCCATGTGCAAGCCCAACTCCACATGAACCTTTCAACTGAAACACTACTCGTAGGCTGCATCTGCGGGATCGGGAGTCGGGCTTCAATGGACTTTGGACGTCACATCTGATGCCTAAAAATCCGGATTATTGCGACTTTCAGAAAAAGGCTTTTTAAGATTAGACAGCGTCAGACTGTAAACCCGACTTCTGGCAGACGGGGCCTGGCGATGCGAACTCCATCTCGTCCATGGCTTTCAGCGATGCGGAGCTGCAAAGTCTCGGAACTCACGCAAGCGATCTACAAGGATCAAACAGAAGCTGGGAATGAATCATTGCTAAAAGGCTCAGCTTCCCTTAAGCCGTAAACTACTACCAAAGTTGCCCCGTTTGCTTCACAGTCTGGCAACGACCTGCGAAAACGTGCGCAAAACATCCACGAGTGATATACAGTGCATTCATGTATATGCAGTATCTTCACAAGGCACCACCACACCGTCATGAAATCACTGAACGAGTATATACCAAAACATATCTTGCCAGACACCCTAAAATTGTACCGCCAAATAGGTGGAACGCAAGACGGTACCAAACGTCAGTACACAGGACTGTATAGCCGTATGGGGTATCGGCCACAACATGAGGCATCATGCATCTTCAAAAATGTTGCAAGGCGCTATGCAATACTACTAATCATACGAAGCGGAAATACTGCAACATGTCCTCAAACACTTCATCATACTTAAGCATAGTATAACAAACAGGGAATATTCGAGGACTGCAAGCCACTCTATAGTAGTACCATGCTTCGTGCAAACAAAGGCCAAACCCCGTAACACATACTTGCTTTACGGATGAAACCCAAGAACCAAGTTCACCAACACACGCTAATGCCAACATGTTCCAATTATGTTAGGCTTTACAAAGAATACTGACTGCAGCAACTTTTTCGTCTGCGTTTCCTTGGAGCTGACACACAAAGGCTGAATGTGGCTACAAACCTAGCGCCCCGTCGGTTGAGGGGAGCAAATCTTCACTGAGCTGCTCTGCCTCTCTCTGTCCATGCGAGACTTTTTAAGGCAGCAGCACCGCGGGATCCCAAACATCAAGGCATCGGCTTGGCCGAGCCACCTCATGGCTTCGACATACTTCGACTCACTAAGCGAAGCAATTGAAGCTCACTCGTCTGCGCATGCGAAGTCTGCACCCAGTAGCAAGCCCACCTCCTCATGGGCACAAGCTTTGTTTGAGAGACTCTTCAGTGAAAAAATGAGGCTCGTCGAAGAGCTCGGAGCCGGCAGGCACAGGCAAAAGGGGATTGGCCAGCCCGACCTACGGAGATCGAGCCGCAAGCAACGCAAGGTTCAGGGTCTTGAAAGGTGCCAGCTGGAGGCGGAGAGGGCAAACTGGCAAACCTCTAGGCCTAGGAAGAACCAGCTGCCCCTTAGCAAGCCAAAACCTGCGAACTAGCTTGGGGAAGGAGTCAAAGGCTTCCCGACATGAGTTTTCAAATGCCCCTTCAAATGGGCGAGGCGCCGGGCTGAAACCCAGATGCGGAACGGCCGCATCGTCGCAGACGACTGGGGCGCCGCAGCTTCGTGCGGGCGCAGCTAAATCATGCAGTGAGGAACCCGGCGCTGCTGGCAAGGCGCCCCACTAAATTCGGCTTTCTCGGAACATTGGCGGTGAGGTTGAGTCGAGGAGCTGGGTCCCGAGTACCACAGGCCAAGCACAATGCCTTCCAACCTGGTCGAGTCGATGCGACTAAGTCTCATCTACGACACTGATGTTTCTGCGTTTAATTTTCCGACAGCACGTCATCTTGAAGGAATGCAGGCTCAAGAGTCCAGAGCAGGGAAGGCGCAGGTCAATCATGCCCACACCGCATTCTGCATCCAACCCCCATATTCCGGCTGGGCACCCGTG